GGTGACCTCGTTTAGTTTTCGATAATCGACACACAACCTGATAGTCCCGTCCTTCTTTTTGATCACAACTATGGGCGACACCCAAGGGGATGACGATGGTTTGATGATCTTCTTCTGTAGCATATCTGCAATGGCTTCCTCAACTGCCTGTTGATACGCTACAGGTATCCGTCGGGGTCGTTGTCGAATGGGGCGTGCCTCCGTCGTGTGAATGTCATGGAGCGTAACATTCGTTCGACCGGTGTCTGCTCCGTCCCACGCAAATACGTCAGCATATTCCTGGACCAGCTTGCGAAGCTGAGTGAGGTCGAGCCCTTCACCGTGTGCATTCGTGCTCACCAATAGGTCCAGCTCCTCTGGGGTTGGGTGTGTCTGAGTTGTAATGGCAGATATGGCCCCATTGCTATGCTCATAAACTACCGGTACCTCATGAGACCCAAGGCGTAAACACCGTTGTGGCCGGCTATATTCGCCCGCGTACCTGTCGAGGAAGTCTGACCCCAATATACCGTCGTATGGCATATCCTGGCAGAGGTATAAGGTATGCTGGTAGACACTGCCGGTAATAGTGAGTGCGATATCAACACAGCCCTTACTACGCATAATAGTACCGTTCGCCGCCTTAACATTAATTGATGACGCCACCAGGTATGGCTGGAACGTCTTCGGCGGAAATCGTCTTGGATTGACTAACGAGCATCCAGACCCCGTATCAACTAAGAAATGCATTAACCTGTTGCATAAACCTACAGATATAAAGGGTCTAGTACCTATGCATGATGCATGAATAGCGGGGCATGAAACTGACACACCTGATTTGTACTGTTGCCTTGGCGCAGGTCGAGGGGGTCTGTATCTAGAAGAGCCTCTCGTGGACTGGAATCGTTGACTCTCTGGCGGGTGCCATGTCCGTTGATGGCGACCGCCCTGAGACGTACGAGTCAGACGCGGGTCCTGCGAGAGTATATCTTCGACTTCCGCCAATGGACGGTCGATGAGGTGCCCATATCGGCGGACTTCTTCTGCCGTGAGGCTCAAGAGGACATGTTTCACCGTCTTCCTCTGAATGGCCTCCGCAGACTTGCCCCGATACGTTCTGGAGACCATATAATACATTTCGTCCACAAAGCACTTGATGGACTCCCCGTAACGCAACTTTCGCTGCCCAATCTCCC